ATGAATTAGCCATGGATTTACATGTATTCCCCATCCCGATCCCCCCTCCCACCTCCCTCTCCACCCGATCCCTCTGGGTCTTCCCAGTGCACCAGGTCCGAGCACTTGTCTCATGCATCCAGCCTGGGCTGGTGATCTCTTTCACCCTAGACAATATACATGTTTTGAAAAGACCCTGATGCTGGGAAAGACTGAAGGCGGGAGGAGAGGGGATGACAGAGGATGAGATGGTTGGATGGCATCACTGACTCAATGGACATGAGTTTCGGTAAACTCCGGAAGTTGGTGATGGCAGAAAGGCCTTGTGTGTTGCAGTCCATGGGCTTGCAGAAAGTCGAACATGACTGAGTGACTGAACTGAACTGAATAGTTGTTTTAAATGTTGTGTTAGTTTCTGCTGTACAATGAAGTGAATCTGTCATATGTATACATATATCTCCTCCCTCTTTGAACTCCTTCCCTCCCCACCGTCCCATCCCACCCATCTGGTTAACTACAAAGCATCAAGATATACAGCATATCCCTAGTAATAGCTATATCAGCTATTCCCTGAGCCATACAGCAGATTGATACATCCACTGTGGAGAATAATATAAAGGTTCCCTAAAACACTAAAAACAGAACTACCACACAATCCAGCAATCCCACTACCGGACATATACCCTGAGAAATCCATAGTAAAAAAGACACATGCCCTCCAATGTTCATTGCAGTACTATTAACAATAGTCAGGATACGGAAGCAACCTAAATGTCTATCAACAGGTGGATAAAGAAGATACGATACAGACATAAATAGAAAATTACCCAACCATTAAAATGAATGAAATGGGGTCATTTGTAGAGACTTGGATGGACCTAGATCTGTCATACAGAGTGAAGAAAGTCAGAAATTTTGACTGGTTTTCATTACATTATAGAAGTAAAAGGTAAACCAATAGAAAACAAGCTTGAAAGGGAGGAAATGAAATAATATTTTCTAAGATACAATATAGGCCAGTCCTAGAGCAATCATTGCAAAAATAAGTATACTTAATAGCTCAATAGTTAGTATAAAATATTCTACAGAAAGTTATCTTATTCATCCTAAAGAAATTAGCAAATTTGGAAAAATAAGAACAAATTCAATTGAAAAAAAAAAAGACGAAAAGGGCAGTTCTAAGCTACAAAACATTGATGATCACATTGAAGATAATAAATGTTCCAAATTAAAAGCCAGAGATTTTTATATTGGATAAGAAATAAAGCTGAACAATATGTAATTTAAATAATAGAAATGTACATTAAATACAGAGATATATGAGTTTAAAGGACAGAAAAAATTTAAAAAAAATGAAGAATTATAAGGCTGTACTAACATCAGAAAGTAAGTTCCAAGACAAAGAATCTTACTAGGAAATAATGTGGGGCATTTCATAATGAAAAAGCATAAGTTAACTAAGACAACAATACTAATATGCACTTAGTTAAAACAGAGTAGCAAAATACATGAAATAAAAACTTACAAACAAAAAGGAGAAATATACAAATTTATAATTATACTGAATTTTTAGGCTTTCTCATTTATTAAAAAAGTAAATAAACAGAAAATAAGTAAGGACCTGAATAATGCTACCAACTGATTTGACTGATATTTTTAGAACATTCCACTCCAAATTAGAAAAATAAAAATGAACCTATTTTTTAAATGTACAAGGAACATTAACTAAGGTGAAATTCTGGGCTATAAAATAAAATATTTAAAAAGCTAAGTTCATGCAAAACATACTTTCTGATCTCAGAGAAATTAAATTAGAAATCAACAAAAAGCTATATGGAAAATAGTAAAACATTTGGAAATTTAATAACACATATCCAAATAACTTCTGCAAAAATCAACAATTTTTACAGAAACTAAAAAATGTTTTCAACTTTATGATAAATGGAAACACAACACATCAAATTTCTAAAATCATCTGAATAAGTGTTCAGAGGAAAATTTAAACTTTAAATATTCACAATAAAGACCCAAATCATTGATTTATTCTCAATCATTTAGATCTTAAGAAGCAACATTAAAGTAAATAGAAGAAAGAATATCAGAAATTGCTTAATTAGAAAACAAATAAATAAAACTAACAAAGCCAAAACTTGGTACACTGAATGTATTAATAAAATTGATAGATCCTTATCAAGATTCAAATTTGAGAGAGGGTGAAAAGAGAGAGAGGGTAGGTGAGCAATGAAAAAGGAGAATAGAGAGAGCATCAGTCCTCAGTATTTAAGAACAAAAAAGTCATTAATGCTCATCATTCAAACATTACAGTTAAACGTATTACAAAAGTAAGGAGATAGTGCAAATAAACATTTCATAATAAATTCAACAATTTAGATAGATTAGACAATTTCATTGACGGGCAAACACGAAAACTCCATTTACCACATGCAACAGCGAAGAAAAAAAATTGAATAAATATAAATTCATAATGATAAAAATAATTGACAGAGAAAACTCTAGGCACAGATATCATCACTGAATTCTAAAAGCATTTAAGGAAGAAACAGTACCAGATCTACCAAAACTATTACAGAATGTAGAGGAGGAGGGAATATTCTCAAACATTAAAGCTAGCATTCCTGATTCAAAAGCTGACAAAGACATTAGAAGAAAACTACGGATCAATATTCCTCATGAATGTAGATGCAAATCCTTTACAAATGCTAGTAAATCAGATCCAGGAGCATCTGTGAAAAGCATAATATAAGTCCTGGGATTTATCCCAGGAATACAAGTTTATTTACCTTTGAATCTATTCACTAGAATTTACCGTATTAACACAAATAAGAAGAAAGAAACATATGATTATCTGAATACACTCAGAAAAAATATTAAACTATTAAAACAGATAAATGAAGAAGTTAGTAAGGTCACAAGATAAAAGGATAACACATAAAATTAAATTTTCATATAACATAAAATAGTTGAAAAATGAAATTTTATAAATCCATTAATAATAGTATAAAAAAACATTAAATACTCCAGAAAAATTTTAACAAAACATATGTTAAGGTCATACACTGAAAACTACAAGGTATTGTTGAGGAAAATATAGATATATAATGGAGAGGTATATCATGTTCTCAGAGAGAAACAAAGACTATTAAAATAGTTAACCTTTTCAATTTGGTGTATAGATTCACTGCATTTTCAATCACAATTCCAGTATAATTTTGTAGAAACTGACATGCTGATTTGAAAACTATATGGAAAAACAAAAGGTCTGGAGCAGTGAAAACAATTTTGGAGAAGAAAAGGATATAATGTTCACATTATTTGACTCCAAGACTTTCTATAAGCTATTGGTAAAGACAGAGTAGTATGGTTTATGAAGACATATAAAGAAATGGAATGACAAGGAGAATCCAGAATGGATGCACACATATAAAACTAACTGGGGAAAGGAAAGTTTTTTCAGTGAAAGATGCCTAGGTATTTTAATTTTACATATGGAAACAAATAAACCTCAACCTTCAAACCACATGCAATTTCTTTAAGACAAATTATAGACCTAAGCATACAATCTAAAACTGTAAAGATTCTGGAAAAAAATATTTGCTCTCTAGATGTAGGACACAGTTTCTTAGAAAGCACTAAACATGAAATAAAATTTTGATAAATTATACATCAAAAATATTACATTTAGTGAAGAAAGTCAGACACAAAATACTATATTCTGTACAATTCTATTTATATATATTTCAAGAAAAGTTAAACATAATCCATGGTGATAGGGAGCAATTTTCTATAATGATGATAGTAGACTGAACAGGGATTTCTTCTTTGGGATAGTTTATTTGGATTACAAAGCTTTTTTTTTGGGCTGTTTCTGTTTAATTTTTGACATTTCTCTGGCTCAGAGAAAGCATATAAATGTGAAACATAACACCCCTTCTACAATAACTGCCTCATTTCTACTATATTTCAAAGGCATCAAAATTACAAATGAAACTATTCATTAAAAATAATTTTCAAACCAACTTTCAGCATTTAAACTCTTAATTATTATGATTTTAAGAATTTTGTGGATATCAAAGAGCATGAACAATTGCTAAACTTTTTTGTTAGAAACTCTAGTCATAACTATTTGCCTATATGATGTGTGTATCATATTACTCATTATTTACCAAATATCGACCTTTGGGATGTAGATTCAAAAAAATAATCCACCTTGTTACCAGTTGACTGATTCTAAATCACAGATTATATAGATTGGTACTCACCAATTATTATTGGCTGTGGCTCACTTTTTACTCCAACTCCTGCACTGGTACTAGCTGCAACCTCCACCCGGTACTGAATACCTGGGAATAATCCACCAATGATTACAGATCGAATGGCTGCATCCACAGTTTTGTTGATGTGGAATCGTGTTTCATTCCCCAGACACCAGATCTATAGAAATGTAAAATGAATATCAAAAGAATATAAAATTATCTTTTCGGGTAATTAGTTCATTATAATTGATTAAATTTTTTAGTAGTGACTAGTCTATTTTCTAGGCTTACTTGTAAATCACAGTTTTGAATGCCTAATTTAGTCTATTTATATATATACATATTTATGTATATTTGTGTGTGTGCCTGTGTGCACATATGTGTTCGTATGTGTGTGTATTAAAGGAAAAATAAAAGAAAGTAAAACTATGCAGCATTCCTTTGTATTTTACAAGGAACACTGAATACTTGGGACCTCTTTGGTGGTCCAGTGGTTGAGTCCATGTTGAATCCACCGGGGACTCAGGGGCATGGGTTTGATCCTGGTCAGGAAAAAAAATCCTGCATGTTATCAGGAGTAGCAAAAAAACCCCAAAAATACCCCACACACTGAATTCTCACAGAACTATGATTCGACTTCCTCAACACCTCTGCAAAGTCTGGAAAATTGTCCTTGGTTGCAAACAGTATTTAGGTAAGGATTAAAATGCATAAATTCCTCTGGTTAATTCATTTATCAAGATTTACTATGCATATAATATATTAAAATATGGTGATTATGAGTTGTAGTATCCAAAGTACATAGGTGCATATCTAAGTAATCTGTATTTCATTTAAGAAAATATTAACTTACACAGAAGTAGTTAACAAGATTAACTGACTAAAGTTATAGGTATTGACTGAGATAAAATTAAAGTCAATATTTACTTTGACAGTAATAAATCTTAATATTGATCAAAACATATCTACACACAAATATACATGCATGAGAATGAACGGAGTGATGGGAAGTCTTTAAATACTGCTGTGAGGGACGCTAGGCTTGCACTTCCAATCAGAATTAAATTTAAAGTCATATTTTCTTTTGGGATATGAAAATCTGCTTGTAAAATGTGTTGTAAAAAATTCTGTGTACAGTTATTTCTATTATATAGAACTTATAATCTGCATGGGGAGACACAAGGAGGAACATCTACAATTTGTTTCTGAAATAGGTAAATTAATGATACTTTTTCCTTAAATTAACATAATGACTTTGAATTTCAGACTTCTTTTAGTCTATGAAACCTAAGTTACTAATGCAAGAATATTAAATGTTACCAAAATATACACATTTGTACCAAAACAGGACAAACTCATATGAGTGAGAAAATTTACAACTTATGAAAAATTATCATGTTGTGAAAAAAATAAATATTTAAATAAATGGAATTTGAAGATATTTAGTCCTAGATAATACAAAAGTAAAATCCTAAACTAATTAAAGCACAGACACACACACCAAGGTAGATAATTCTTTGCTTTTAAAACAATGTGTCTTAGTTCAGTTCAGTCGCTCAGTCATGTCCAACTCTTTGTGACCCAATGAACCACAGCACGCCAGGCCTCCCTGTCCATCACCAACTCCCAGAGTTTACCCAAACTCATGTCCATTGAGTCAGTGATGCCATCTAACCATCTCATCCTCTGTTGTCCCCTTCTCCTCCTGCCTTTATTCTTTCCCAACATCAGGGTCTTTTCAGATGAGTCAGCTCTTCGCATCAGGTGGCTTCAACATCAGTCTTTCCAATGAACACTCAGGACTGATTTCCTTTAGGATGGACTTGTTGGATCTCCTTGCAGTCCAAGGGACTCTCAAGAGTCTTCTCCAACGCCACAGTTCAAAAGCACAATTTTTCAGTGCTCAGCTTTCTTTATAGTCCAACTCTCACATCCATATATGACTATTGGAAAAACCATAGCCTTGACTAGATGGACCTTTGTTGACAAAGTAATGTCTCTGCTTTTTAATATGCTGTCTAGGTTGGTCATAACTTTCCTTCCAAGGAGTAAGCGTCTTTTAATTTCATGGCTGCAATCACCATCTGCAGTGATTTTGGAGCCTCAAAAAATAAAGTTAGCTACTGTTTCTACTGTTTCCTCATCTATTTGCCATGAAGTGATGGGACTGGATGCCATGATCTTAGTTTTCTGAATGTTAAGTTTTAAGCCAACTTTTTCACTCTCCTCTTTCATCAAGAGACTCTTTAGTTCTTCTTCACTTTCTGCCATAAGGGTGGTGTCATCTGCATATCTGAGGTTATTGATATTTCTCCTGGCAAACTTGATTCCAGATTGTGCTTCACCCAGTATGAATGTGTCTTAATGCTTATAAAATTTCAGAATTTATGTAATTATGCTATTGTAAAAGCACTTACTCTTATTTTCTTAGACATATTTCTTTATAAACTGATGGGAATAATTTTAAAATAAATTCTTATGCAAATTTAGTCCATTTGCTTCAGTAACTTAACCATTAACTTAGGAAAACTGTACTTCAACAATTATTTTCCCTAGAAGTAATAATGTTTTGAATAAAATTATTCAGCTTAATTTCACATACCAAGTATGAATTTCTGGGGTGAGGTAGAGTGTCTAGCTTTCTTTTCTAATAGATGTACTTAGTATGTTATTGTCAGAATTCTACAAATATTTATTAATGGCAAAAAAACCCCATAGTTTTGAATTTTTACAAGGTTTAATGATATCTTTTACTCTCCCTTGTGATCTAATCACATCACAATTAATCAGAATCATTTCTCAAAGTGTTTCTCAAATGATGTCTCTCAAATGATGGTGAAGAGACAATGGATATATTCTGTTTCTAAACAGCAACAAATTCATCAGTTGAAAAATGAAAGCTTTCTAAAATTTGTTTTTTCAATGGCTCCCTTTTCTCAGGGCTTCCTTGATGGCTTAGTGGTAAAGAATCCGCCTGCCAATGTAGGAGATGCGGATTCAACCCCTGGATTAGGAATCCCTGGTGGCTGAGATGGTAAAGAATCCCCCTGTAATGTGGGAGACCTGGGTTCAATCCTTGGGTTGGGGAGATCCCCTGGAGGAGGTCATGGCAACCCATTCCAGTATTCTTGCCTGGAGAATCCCCATGGACAGAGGAGCCTGGAGGGGTCCAGAGGGTCGCAAAGAGTTGGACATGACTGAGCACCTAAGCACACAGCTCTTAAGTGAAATATTTTCCAGAAACTAAACAACTTGGCAAAAGCAGAATTTAGGGTGGGAGATGGTACTTCCTATCTCCATCCCAACAATACAAACCCACAAAGCATCTTTTAATGAGAAAACATTAAAATAGCTGCTCTGAGTCCTGTGGTCTTCCCCGGTAGCTCAGCGGCAAAGAATCCACCTGCAAAAGCCTGCCAATGCTTGTCAATGCAGGAGATAAGAGTTCCATCCCTGGGTTGGAAAAATTCCCTAGAGAAGAAACTGGTAACCCACTCTGGTATTCTTGCCTGTAGAATCTCATGAACCTGGCTGGCTACAGTCTATGGGATTGCAAAGAGTCGGAGGAACAAGACTTAGCAGCTAAACAACATAATCCCATTACACAGAAATCTAACAAAGATGAAGACAGTTTCTGGATAGGGCTTCACTATCTACCCTATACTCCATCTTTGTAAATTCCTGAGGTTCTACAACCACATTATATAAATTTTTTAATATATATATATACATATATATATATGTATATATATATAAAATAACCACTGCACTAGTATGGTTTACTTGTCCAACTGAGTCTGTGCTATTTGTGAGCCTGGATTTAAGTTCTATGAATTCTGTGCATTTGCTTCTTTATGAGTCACACAAACGTATATTTCTTCACACTCAAACTCAGTAAGAGGCCACCAGAAATACTCCCCATGCACATGAGCCTGAGACTTCTCTGGGAACTTTTACCTGTGAGCCTTCCTTCTTCATCCAGGCCTTACCTTGTACTCCTGGATGATTCCATTCTGATGATCTGGAGGAGGAGGATCCCAGGAAACACTAATACTTGTGCTATTGTGGCCTCCAACAGTCAGCACAGTGACAGATTGTGGAGGGGCACTTGGGGCTGCAGAAGAAGTCATTAGAATAAACACACCTCTAAGTCTTAATGTGCATTAATGCTGCTACAGAATATGAATACAAAGACAAGATGCAAGAGGTTCTTCTATCCAGTAGTTCTGAGTTAACAGCGAGTGTTTAAAAATAATCCTTTAAATATAATGGATAGATTTAAAGCAAATAAAACAGCTACGGTAATATGTCCTCAACAATAAATTTAACAGTTAACATTCGAATGAGTGTCTCCTATATGTCCAGAACAGAGGTAAGAGTAAGATTTAATTTTCACAATAAAAATAAAATTCTCATGAAAAAAATTCACAGGAAATAAAAAACAACTCATGTTAGTTTTACAGATAAGGAAAAGGAAGCCTACTATAATAGACTTATCTAATTCAAACAGTGAGGGAGAACTTGAACCAGGTATGTCTGATTTTAGAACATTGACCTTCTGACTCTAATAGACTCCTCTTTTGAAAAACAAACAAGCAAAACAATAACAACAACAAAAACACTGCTATCAAAAATATTCTGAGAGGATGCATTTCAAAATTTCACCAGTCATTATTTCTGAGTAGTAGCACTACTGACTATCTTTTTGTTTTGTTTTGGTTTGCGTTTAATACATAAAAACAAAAACATAGCTATAAATTTCACCAACACAGAGAAAGACAGTTTTGTTTTCATAATGAGAAACATAATTGATTGTTGTAAACTGATTCATAATTTAAGATTTGAAATTTATTTTACATTGATGGGCAAGGAACTCTGAAGATATTAATGAAAACAGTTCATGTTGGATCAAATGTGAAATGGACAGATTATAATTTCCTACAGTTCTCTTCCTTTATGGTTTTTCCCATAACTAATTATAATTATACTAAGAAAAGATGAATAAGAAATAATTCTTGGTTTTGGACAGTAGTAGTATCTCCTATCCAGTGTATTCGAGAGCTAAGTCATACTAATTTTCCTGGAAAACATCAATTCTCAGCATAACTCTGAGTTTAAGCCATAAGTTGAAAAAGCAAATCAAAGCACTAACCCTTTGAAGCAAAAGTCATATAATTTTGAGGTAAGAAAGAATTTTTACATATAAGATTAATGTTTTCATAACTACATAATTTAGTTCTTTGAAAATGTGTACACTTTAATCATAAAAGATATTTAAAAGCTTACCAATAAAGTTTCCCATGTTTGATAAATTATCACAACACATTTCATTGAAGTATGGTCAGTGTAGAAAACACACACAGACAAGTTACCACAATACTGCTCTTGATTACTCCTCTATGTGATAATGCTGGTCTGAAATGTGGCACAACGACATAAATCCAACTGTTTGCCTACTGGTTTTGTAGTCATCGAGTAGACTATATTGAAAAGTAACACTTTGGAGAACTGGTTTCTCATTTCCCTGACTGCTGGAGTGGCGAGAACACGGTGCCTATTTCCTGACAGGTCAATTATTACACAGATGTGAAAGAACCCCCTCATCGTTACCAGACACAGCCCAGCTGAGTCCCATTTGTTCCCTTCAGAAGCCACAGATAGAGGAGATGAACGTAAATCTAATGGTGACAAATGTCTATTGCGGAGGAAAAGTCTAACTGCAGTGAAATTGATTTTTGGAAGTGTGCTTCAACATAGCATTCTGTATGAAATTTACCCACCCTACTCATTAGTTTTATATATTTTCCACATAAAGCAAAATTTAATGGGAGACAAAGATCCTGTTATTAATTTTTAGTAATCTTTTCTTTATAAATCCTAAAGGTCAAATAATGATACCTTTAAAACTATGCACTTCTCCCAGGTCAGTATATCACACTGTAAACCAATGTGAAGATAAACTTTCTCTGTGTTGCTAATTATAAGATATATATAATTTAAAGGCTTTTTGGTTGGAGATGTATATCTGTATGTTAGCATGAACAATCTACACATAATTTCTTAAGGCTGCTTTTATACTGATTTATATAAAATATGTTTAGAAAAAAGGCTTTTTACTTGCAGGATACATAAAATTAGCAGAGAAGCAGAAAAGGTGGGGATTTATTATACTTTGCATATGACGATTTGTATTTTGATGATACCATCCATTGCCAGCTTATAGTTTAGGAAAGGGGACACTAGAAAATGGACTGCTGCTGCTGCTGCTAAGTCACTTCAGTCGTGTCCGACTCTGTGCGACCCCATGGACCGCAGCCCACCAGGCTCCCCAGTCCCTGGGATTCTCCAGGCAAGAACACTGGAGTGGGTTGCCATTTCCTTCTCCAATGTGCGAAAGTGTAAAGTGAAAGTGAAGTCGCTCAGTCGTGTCCGACTCTTAGCGACCCCATGGACTGCAGCCCACCAGGCTCCTCCATCCATGGGATTTTCCAGGCAAGAGTACTGGAGTGGGGTGCCACTGCCTTCTCCAGAAAATGGACTAGTTGAGACTATACTAATTTTATGTCCATCGCAGACTGATTTTAAACTATCTGCAACAAGAAAAGTTACCAAGGGGAAATGGAGAGGGTATATCATTAAAAAGAATGCTATTGCAAACATTCAAATGGCCTTCCGGATTAGAAATGATGAATCCGACTGGCAGAGCACATAGCGAAGGAGGCTTATAAAAGGGAATGTCAAGATTTACTACACCAAAAACAAAGGAGTGAAAAAGAACAGACTTTGTACTTGAGTTTCCATTAGTCTGTCCTTTAATGAAGCCAAATGAGCTAAAGCCATGTGTGAAAACAAAAAGGGAAGATACTATAATCAAATTCCAGGGCATAGGCAAACCACAAAATGGAAGATGTTACGTGCTCCATGACCGTGAGCACACAGCCCCAGGACTACTGGAGTCTAAAGACTGATATTATTAACCTCTGTGATTCCACCCTATTACCTCACCATCAGCCAGTAAGAGAACTGTGTATGAGCTGATCACAGACCCTTCGACTTCCCACCACCCATATCTGGCTTTATGCTTTGCTGAAACCTTTTGAGGAGGTCAGGGCTTTACCCATCTCCTTGCACAGCCCTGCAATAAACCTTTCTCTGCTCCAAACTCTGACATTTTGGTATGTTTGGCCTCACTGAGCATCAGGCACACAAACCTGCACTAACAATTTTTGAGTTGTTAGATTCTCTGGGCTTCTCAAAATAAAAGGAGAAAAACGACACTTCTTAGGTTGACTTTTAGAATTCTCTATTGGTACTCTTCCAAAGAAGATGATAAAACTAGAACTTCAACAGAAGTTGATTTCATTATGGTTTAAGGATGGTTCATGTTAGAGATCTGAATACTGACCTTCTTCAGTAGTACGGACTGTTTTAGATTCACTATCCATTCCTTGGAACTCATTAAAATATGGTCGAACTTTAATTTCGTAAGTCACCCCCTTTTTCAGATTGACTAAGACAGCACTCCTCTCAGTTGGGACTTTGGCATCTAAATTCTGCCATGCTGTTGTAGCCTGCAGGCCTGAAGTCTGACGGTACATCACTCGGTAGCCTTGAATAAACTGGGGTTGGCGATCAACCTACAAGACAAAGCAAAAAGCTTTTGAAACCAAATAGAAGTGTCCAAGCGATGCCATGTCTTTCTAATTCATCACCCTGCTTCCAATATCCTCTTTCAGTTCTGAGTTCACATGCTTCCAAGTTGTTACTTCCAAAATGAAGAGTGGAACTACATCTCCCCCCTGTTTAAAACACTTCATAGTAGCTAAGATACTCATTAATTAAAATTCTTTGGATTAGCACAAAGGCCTGTCAATATTTCTAGTTTTGTTATTTATCTGTTTGTCCTTTTACTGTATACCACAATTCTCGTTTTTGTGGTTTTATATGTAGTGTGCTATTTGTCAGGAATCTCCATTATCACCCCTTGTTCATTCACTAATACCTTTACTCACTCAAATATTTTCTGAGTTCCTATTAAGAGGTGTCAGTTATTCTGTTAAACTCTGAGGATAAAAATGGAGAATGAAAGGAGGGTCAGTCCCTGGCCTCCTGGTGCATAGAGTTCAGGTAGAAGGTGGAAATTATCTCATGATCACTCAAACAATGGGCAAGTTACATTCATAACAAACAAATATGATGTTTGTTATGATGTTATGAGTGAGATGCACTAGCAGATAAGAAAGCCTAGAGTGGAGAGGAAGTTGATTGATCAGGGAGACAGTTTCCCAGAAAAAGAACAAGTGCTGAGATCTGCATGGAAAGTAAGATTTGTACAGAAGTAGAAAGGAACAGCATGTGTAAAATTCCTGTGGCTGGAGGAAGCATATAAAAGAGACTCAGAGTTGTGGAGCTAGAGCTCCTGTTTTAAAAGCATATGAAAAATTTATAGTGATTAACAAATATTAAATAAAAGACATTTATTAAGTTAACAACTTCAGGGTCCTCTAATAGTCCCACTGTTAGCACAATTTAACAGCTCTCTTGATTCTCTCATTCATTTGAGGTACGGAGGATAAAGAGCTGTTTTTAATAAAAATCTGAAAATTTGAACCTGAAAATTAATACCAAAAATCAAAAAACAAGTTCTTGTTTTACATTTTTTGAATACTTTTTATTGGAGTTTTATCACTGTTTCATTTCAGGGAGAAAAGGACTTTTAGCTTTTTCGACATTTGAATGTCCTGCTAATTTTTAGAAATGCTTGACTTAAATATAACTATCACAACAGCTTCTTCAATTAATATTCCATGTGCTATAGTTTAATAGCAATATTCTAAGAAGTCTTTAGCTTGACATATTTCATTGTCAAATAAAATGTAAAATTCAATGGAGATGAGATGGAGTAACCCTATTTTAGGAAGGCTGAGAAAAGAGAGAAAATAAAGAAGGTGATGATGGAAATGGCTATTTCAGTTTTTTAAAAATGTCTGTATCCAACTGTTAACACATAGTAACACAAATGATACTCTTTCATATAATAACTTCTGGCATTTCTTTATTAGTTGCAGCATTTTAAGATATTTTTTAAGTGAAGACAGAAAATGTACAAATACAGAACCTCAAGCAAAATACAACAAGACAAAGGGCTATGTTTTCGGTATGTAGAATGTTCATGCTAGAAAAATCCATAAAGTTGGATTTGCGTGAGCATGTGTGTTTCTAAGTATAGCAAATTCCGGTTTCACAGATGAGTCTCAACAAGTAAGAATTCCTTCACCCACATGACAGCTTTCTAACTCTTAAAGATTTGTGGAATTAGTACTACACTTGTATGAGGCTATGTCAAAGAAAAGTAAGCTCAGTTCTGATACCAAAGCTCACGATCTCTGAATGCTCATCCATGCTACCAGTTTGTGTTCATACCAAAGTACCTATTTATCGAAAAGCAGAAGTTCTCTTGACATTATAAAACCAGGAAACTAAAATCTAAAAAGCTAAATTTATGAGAGCCAAGGAGAGATGCCTTTCATCATAACTGTCAATGTTCAAAAAAATCCCTGCGGCATATGTTAAAACAACATCAAGCTTGCATTTTATAAACTTTTCTGCATTCACTTTAAGGGAATTTATATACTGAAAGAAAGACATAACTCACAATAATAGCTTGTTAATACTGAAAGAAGCAAGCTGTGTTTTTAAGAAGAACATTAAGCAGCTGTTTCCAGATGAAGGGAGTCTGTAAATCAGGGTAAATTGGTTTTATCCATGTTTGGTTTTCATTAATTAAGTGTTTTAGGACTTTATGAAGCTAATGTTTACTGCACATTGCTTTGCTCACTTCAGTGTATACTGCCTTCACTGTTGTAATGGCCTACTTAATAGCTAAATAACTTGATTTTGGGTGGTTGCTATACATACATGCTCTACATTCTTTTCAGAAGGAAAATTTGTTGTTACACGTGAAAGCAAAAATGAAAATGCTGCACATCACACGTTCAAAAACAGGTAAGATTTTAATGAATACGTGTTCTACACCACTGATTTTGGTGAACCTTTTGACGAGTGATCACTTTCAAGTTAAACCATATGCTTGTCACTAGTTTTATTAACATTCAAATTAAAAGAAAGAAGATTTTCTTTTAGAGTCTATTATAATTGTGATGGGATTTCTAGGTGGCTCAGTGGTAAAGAATCTGCCTGCAATTCAGGAGATGCAGGAGAATGAGGGTTCGATCCCTGGGTCAGGAAGATCCCCTGGAGGAGGAAATGGCAACTCACTCCAGTATTCTCACTCTATGGGAAAATCCCACGGACAGAGGACCTGGTGAGCCACAGAACGTGGGGTTGCAAAGAGTGGGACAGGACTGAGCGCTCACACACACACAAACCATCTCCATAATCAGAGTCTGGCCACAAAACCATGGGTTTATTAAATTTAAAAAAATCGGTATTTCCTGAAATCTGAATAAAAGAGTATTAGGAACATGTGAAAAGAGTCTCGATATTCAGGTTATAAGCTCTCAATTGAGTGATGGTTTAGCTTTTAAATGTTTTGAGTCTGTTTACTTAATCTACACAAATAATAAAGCACCTTTCAAGTTTTAGAGTTGCACAATGATAGAGCATTGTTATGTAAGGGATATACTAAAAAAAAAAGGGGAGTACATTCGTGGCCCCCAAATCTGCACATTCATTAAAAGGTTAAAGCAAGACACTTAATATCTATCTATTGAAAATTGTAAAAATTCCGTTTATACTGAAAATTCAGAGTGAATTTCCTTTGGTGGGTCTAGCCTGCTGAGTAATAGATCTGGGTTTAACCGAGTTCTGAGATTCTAGTTCACCAAAGCACCCTTTCAACTCCAGTAGCTGTGACATTTAAGGGCCAAGCGACCTGTAATTCTTGTCCTTGAATAAAAACAAAACACTCACACACACAGACTAGAATAATGACTTTAAAGTAAGAGATTTATTGCTACTTTCTTTGTGAAACAGTCGTTTTCATCATTTTTACCCACCCTCATTATAAGAGCAGTCATTTTATTTTTTATTTTTATTTTTTTTTAAATTTTTATTAGTTGGAGGCTAATTACTTTACATCATTACAGTAGTTTTTGTCATTTTAGAAAGTAGCCTTTGCTAAATTTTGTTGGTTTGAGATTAGACATGTGGGGTAGGCACATTGTTTTTCCAGTCCAAACGTCCTATGTGTTTGGTAACAGGATCCTGCCAACTATTGATAAACTACATCAGCTGAACCCTAATTGAAATACATGGGCTGGGGAATATATTTCTTTCCTCAAACATCAACATGCCTGAAATTTAAGTACTAACAATGTGACAACTCACAGAACATACACATTTAGCAAGTTGAAAATATGACATGAAATATTTGGTTATAATTTCTTTGGTCACAGATCTGCTCTCCAGTCTAACTTTATTTCACTAAGTTTACTTCTCAAATATATACTTACCTCACGTGTAAATACAAATTTATGGAGAATTTGTAATATAGTCAAACACTTTCTTAAAAAAAATTAAAATGTATGAAGACAACTGATTTGATCATTCAATGGACAGTTATTGAAAAAGAATTTCACAATAAATGTTCTGCTCTGAGAAAAACAGAAGTGAAAACTTGAACTTTGGACTCACAAAACTCAAGTTCATGAGGGAGACATATGTAGACTAGTAATAACACGTTTCTTGGGATATAAAGGTGAATATGACAAGGTCCCTCTCCTGGAAGAACCCAGACTACTGACCTACAATTCTGAGCTACTTTGATTGATTCTTTTAAACTCTGTGACTTTTAAAGTGATTAATTTCATAAACATAATGACTTTGATTCTTTACCCAAGTCATCCCCACATTTAGAAGCAGCTTAAAAAAGCAAACCTTTAAAACTCAGAATAAAGCAGAGAAGACTTTTTTCAGGGGAGAACGAGGAAAAATATGCTGTTAAAAATACAAGCATTTCCTTGGCTTTACTATTGAATAGTCTTGTATTGAGCCAAAGCTACAGAAAGATGGAAGAGGCATGGCAGGTAATACCCTTTCTGTGCCACTGGAAAAATGATGAGGTCATTATGTCCCTTCATGAGAGCAGAAAAATAGAAACCATTGTATGCCCAAAACAAAATAAGTAAATGTGAAATTATACGAAAAATAAAATTAGAAACAATGCAACCTTTAATAATCACAGCTACTCTTAAAACAGTTAAAGCACTTGTTAAAGCACTACCCAGCTTTGTACTCTCAGACCAAACATTTGACTGGTCTAATTTAGGGAGCAACAACATGCTCCGTCCAAAGTCATAGGTTCAAATTCCACTATTAAAAGGTATTTCTTCCAACTAAATATTTGTCTACAGTTTAGAGAGAAAAACAAAGAGCAGGTCTACAAAAGGAAACTCTAATCCCATTTTTACCTATACATAGATGTAGGATCCTGGAAACATTGTTCAACCTGTCTCCATTGGTTTCCTTTTACAATATACCATTGTTAATCTTTTTTTTCTTTTTCTTAAGGAATCTTTTTTTTCCCCTTTATTTTATTAGTTGGAGGCTAATTACTTTACAATATTGTACTGGTTTTTGCCATACATTGACATGAATCAGCCATGGATTTACATGTGTTCCCCATCCTGATCCTCCCTCCCGCCTCCCTCCCCATCCCATCCCTCTGGGTCTTCCCAGTGCACCAGCCCTGAGCACTTGTCTCATGCATCCAGCCTGGGCTGGCGATCTGTTTCCCAAGTCGTGCCCGACTCTTTGCAACCCCGTGGACTGTAGCTTGCCAGGCTCCTTCTGTCCATTGGATTTCCCAGGCAAGAATACTGGAGTGGGTTGCCATTTCCTTCACCAGGGGATCTGCCCGACCCAGGGATCAAAGCTGCATCTCCTGCACTGGTAGGTGGATTCTTTACCACTGAGTCACCAGGGTCTCTCCTTAAAAATATAACTGGACTAAAGAGCCTTAAATGTTAATTCAGTTTCTTCTGTTCTAATACAATAATGCCTCCATATTTCCCCATATAGATGTAGAAAAGTGATAATGATGTTTCTGACACCTGAGGACAGAGTTAATTACTTCTTCTTTGATGGAAGCCTCTGTGTTTATAAAATGTGTATATATATATATATATATATATATATATATATATACACCTATCAGTTATGGGTTTTATCCCTGTGTACCATCATTAAGAAGTTCCATGTTTTTCTCAAGTAGATTTGTGTCTCTTTAGTGTTTTCCAACATTTACCCCAAAACTGGTCCTCAAAAAATGCTTACTGAACTATGTTTACTCAATGGATTTATTATCAAGGAGACCTTGGGATAATTCTCTTCATTGTGTTTTATAATTCAAACATTATTGATTAAGAGCTGATGAAAAATAACCAGTTTTCTGATCTCAGCATCTTTTATTGAGGAAATTGATGGAAATAGGTGAAATAAGTTATTAACCTAAAGTAATCTGCATTGTAAGCAGGTAACATCCTTTTTTTCAAACTTACTCTTCTACTACCACAAAAACAATACCACCACCAACAAAAACAATAACAGAGACATAATTATATTTTCTAATTAATATAATTCTTTCTAATCAATTATAATTGATATAATTCTAATATTATAATTAAAACAAAATGTTTCTAGATATCCCTAGGTAAAATGACCATTACTTACACAACATACAAGATCTATTAACAAACAGGGGGCTATGAAAAGTTGTGCTCATTTATCATCCTTACGGAATTTTAAAAGCTATAATAAAGAGATCTTGAGCATGAATGAAAAGTTGACACTAAGTGAATCAGGCAGAAGAAAGCACATTATCTGTTTCTTCACAAAACACAGACACACAGACTCAAACACATATACAAAGGCTAATAATCTCTAACACGAATAATATGGATATTTTTATGCTAGCTATTGTTTTCATTGCAGTGACTATCATGTGATGAAAACATTTTTCATTGTGAAATAATAATGGGTAGGTTGATAGTAAATAATGCATGGAATTGGACATTCGTAGCATATATTAAAATATCAATCTATTTCTTAAGATCCATTAATTTTTACTATAAAGTAATTAATTATTAATTAATTACTATGTAATTAAAATTATATACTTTTTTGGTACTGCTGGATAATATTCAGCTCCAAGAGTATAAAGATAAGTGATTTAAATTTAGAAGAAAAGTTCAAAATTAAACTTTTTTGCCCTTCAAGTAACACCATTAAGAAAGTAAAAAACATCACACAGATTGGGAGAAAATATTTACAAATCATACATCTAATAAAGCATCTGCACACAACATGTACAGAACTCTTATAAGACTATACTAAGAAGACAACTCAGTTTAAAAGTGGGCAAAGAATTTGAACAGACATTTTGCTAAATAAGATACACAAATGCTCAATACATACAGGAAAGATTCAAAATAGTCATTAAAGAAATGTAAATTAAACTCACAGTAATATACCATGCATACTCACTAGAATGGCTACAATCAAAAACCCAGGATAACAAGAGTTGTTGAAGATGTGAGAGAAACTAGAATCTTCAAATATTGCTATAGGAGCATAAAATTGTGTAACCTCTCTGAAAAACATTTTGGTAATTCACCCAAACATTAAGAGTTTAATTCAACAATTCCTAAGTATACATCAAGAGAAATTAAAATATATGTCGATGTGGACACAAGTGTTCATGACACCATTATTCATAATGGCCAAAAGTGGAAAGAACTCAAAGACAAATTAGCTGATAAACGGCTAAACAGATGTATGTGATACATCTATACAATGGAATTCTACTCTGTAATAAAAAGAAACAAAGTACTGATGCATACTACAACTTGGCTGAACCTCAAAAGCACCATGCTGAGTGAAAAAAGCCAGACATAAAAGGTCACATATTGCATGATTTCATTCACATGAAAGCAAGAGGCACATTCATACAGAGCAGATTAGTGGTTGCAAAGAGCTAAAGTCAGGGGAATGGAGTGGCTGCTCAAGAGCCCAGGGTTTTACTTTGGGATGAAGAAATATTTTAAAACCAGATTCTGGTGATGATTGTATAACTCCACAAAGATATCAAAAACATTGTGTTGTATACTTTAACTCTGGTGTGTTAATACATCTCAATAAGACCATGTTAAAATTCAGGAGACAAAACATTATTTATATTGCAATCTATTTTTATTCTGTTTATACTTTTACCTATTGAATTTTTTTTCTCTTTTTTGCCTTTGATTTACCTTGACTTTAAATGGTGAGGGTTTTGATTTTTGGTTTGTTTGCTTTTTTCTTCTCTGGTTTGTTTTCTCAATGGATAGCCTTTTCTCAACCATTAGGATAGCCTTTAAAAACTTACCGTCCACGTGACTTGAACAGTGGTGGGAGTCAATACAACTGGAGCATGAAGGCGGACAAGGACGTCTCCGAGTTCTTTCTGGACTTGTCTGTGGTCCACTCCTTGTGCTGGAGGGCTGATATCTACAGGGATAAACGGTTCCAATCCTTAAAAATTCACAGTGCAATTCCAGTACATGTTATATATGCCAATATTACGCTATTAGAAATAATTACAGGGGGAAAATTAAAAATCCCTTGTGATAAACAACATTAAAGAATATTTTTATACATACTACCACTTTAGGGTATAAAGTGAGATTTATCTTCACTAAAATAATATTAATAAAAGTGTTGGCGACCCCTTCTCCCCATTCAGTACACTGCTCTGAAAGATCTATTATTTTCTTACTAAAGGATAAAGTGTGGGCTGTAAGACTTCTTTAGGAGCATCAGGTTAATACAGATGTTGACACATTGAAGGACTTTCACAAGTAGTTACTGGGGCCAAATTTGAAAACTGCTGTTTGGAATTTGTTTAATCCCTTTTCCCAATTAGTAGGGCTGTGTGTTCCTATTTCTGAACCTATTTCAGTCTGGGAGAGTGGAAGAGAAATTAAGCAGGAGGCCTGGGAGTGAATTATGTGACTGTGTGTGTGTGTGTGTGTGTGTGGGCACTCAGTTGTATCTGGCTTTTTGCGACCCCATGGACTGCAGCCTGCCACTAAAGGTAAATAAAATGAGGGAAAGAAGGGGAAGAATCCTCCCAAATTCACACAAAAGAATTCTGATGACCAATTTAACACACTGATAAAATGTTCTGTGTAAAATTTTGAACAGTACTCCAATACTGGACAAAAATAATGCTGCTGATTATTTGAAGTGATTGTTGGGGTGAAAAGAATTGCAATGTTTAGAATGATATACTCTCACCACAATCTGTTCTGATCATTTATTCACCATTCACCTAAACATTGTTCTATTTCCCATCCAACAGTTTATACCCTATGTGTCCATTAAGGAAGAAAATAAGATAAATTATAGACATCCAAGTCCATCAAACTGACATCAAACACTGAATTTCACACAGATTCATATCAGCTTCTTCAAGTGGTACAATTTAAAATGATTTATTTTCTTAATCTTGCCTTCTCCTAATTTCTCAGGCCACAACGCATTACTCTTGCAAATATATTTTTGCCACAACGCATTACTCTTGCAAATATATTTTTAAGTGCCTATCTCAAAAATAATTTAAACTGGGTGCACTAACTTAAATTGGAACATATGAAATTTAGAACTGGGCTTCCCTGGTGGCTCAGTGGAAAAGAATATCCCTGCCAGTGCAGAAATTAGGAGTTTGATCTTTGGGTCAGGAAGATCTCCTGGAGAAGGAAATGACAACCCACTCCAGTAATCTTACATGAGAAATCCCATGGACAGAGGAGCCTGGCAGGCTACAGTCCATGGGGTCACAAGAGAGTTGGACACGACTAAGCAACTAAACAACAATGATTGGGCACTACATTTTGGTAATTTTTTTCTAGCTCTACTTCTTTTTCATCTTTAATATAACTTTAATATAAACAGCAGAAGGAGTTTTAGACAACATACACAATATATGTACCAATATATCAATATATGTATATATATTAATATCATGTGAATGCTACTAGTCTTTGCTAATATATCTATGGTTTACTGTGATATGGATGGTACAAGTATTTGCTGACTACTGAAATAAGAAATTTGTAAGTTCTATAGCATTAGTATCTTCAAAAAATAAGAGCTCACACTGCCAAGTGTTCTTTGCAAAGAAGTGCTTGGCAGAACGCAAAGTGCTTGAAAGTGTGGTGTCAAAAATGATCCTGACATTCAGACACAAAACATGAGTTTTTCTATTAAATATCTGTTAAGGGAGCATAAGTCTTTTGCTCTGTATGGTCTCTCGACTGGAACAAGCCAGATCACAAACAACTTTTCATTAATCTTTGTTGACCTTTTCACAGAGAAGTTATTTTATGAGTCAAGATTTAGTGACTGGCACTGTTATTGAATGATCAAGAAGGGCCGCCAGATTTAATCACACCAAAAGTCTTCCCCATTCTGTGATCTCCCCACTTTCCAATGCAGTGATGCATAAAACCTTTCTATCTATACAAGTAAAAAATAATCTGAGTACCACAATTTCTTAACTTAAAAACCATACACCTCTTTTTTTTTTAAGTTCAATAATTAAATTCACTCATTAAATCCACACACATTAAAAGCAAGTGGATCCAGGCAAGGTAAAATAGAACCAATTTCAGGTCTTCAGATTCCTTGTTTTACTTTTTCTTTCTCTCGAGACAAGTTCTTTACCTACAGGCCCTTTATCATCATGGAAAATTAATCACATTACTTCTTAGAGAACAATAGCAAAGTGGCATCCCCTCCTCCCCTGACTGTCATCATGTCAGCAACGTTGCAAAATCACGTGGTGACTTTATTTGACTTGATTCCTTTAAGGCGCCCTTCTCTGTTATAATAGCATGCTAGTTACTATCACCAGGCTACATTGTAATTATAATAATATTTTATGGCTGTATGGTGCTTTTCATAGCATAAAAATACTACTTTGAATTATATCTTGTTCAAAACCTTTTACAAATAAGAAATAATTAACCCTTTCTCAAGAACCCTGTGGGAAGTAAGTCGTAACAAATAATAAAGCCACCATTTCTATTTTATTAATTCCCATCATCTACTAGTAACAAGGGAAATTTAACATCCCATATTAACCCCTAGACTCCAGCAATTTCTAGTGTGAAGAGACAGGCTACTAAAGATGAGATGGGGAATCTTCCATTTTGATCTTATAATATTATAGTTTTTCTTTTATTAGTCAAAAGCATCACATACCTCAGGTAGAAAGCTTGATTTACAGCTTCCTGAAACAAGTTGTTGCTTTAAACATCTGGTTTAATACCATTTACTGTAAAGATGCTTGTCTGACGAGCATGAACATTCCTGGAGGGCACTTTAACAGATTGCTGGGTACCACCCCCAGAGCTTCAGAGTCAGGGCCTGAGATTTTTTTCTAAGGTAGCCCCAGGTGATGAGATGCTGCATTTAGGAACCACACCTTGAGACCCACTTTGCAATCAAATCACAATTCTTGAACCATAGGAAGCAATTTTGATATCCTTCACAGGGCATCTTATCCATTAACGTTCACTTTTCATTATGGCAGAATTAATTTCAAAGAAGGAGAAGCATCTTCCCTTCCTTTGAAATATGGGAAAATCCTATGTGCATGTGTCCTCCATCTGTCAGACTCTTCGTGACCCCATGGACTGAAGCCCACCAGGCTCCTCGGTCCATGGGATTTCCACGGCGAGAACACTGGAGGTTGCTGCCATGACTTCTCCAGGGGATCTGCTCAACCCACGGATTAAACCCACATCATCTGACAGATGGGATTCGTTACCACTGACCCACCAGGAAAGCCCACAAATTACCTATCTTTAAATTTCTATTATAGAATTAAAATGATGACCAATAAGTTCTGTTGTTGTTGTTTAGTCGCTAAGTCATGTCTGACTCTTTTGCCACCGCACAGACTGTAGCCGGCCAGGCTCCTCTGTCCATTTCTTAACAGGCAAGAATACTGGAGTGGGTTGCCATTTCCTTTTCCAGGGGATTCTGCTGACCCAGGGATCGAACTCATGTCTCCCGCATCGGCAGGTCGATTCTTTACCACTGAGCTACCTGGGAAGCCCCGAAGCCCTACAGTTAAGCCGTATCTTAAATTCCTATGTAATTGTACCAAATTATTGTGTTTCATTTTTACCAAATAAACCCTGACAGCTCCAGAAAGAAGCTATACTCACTAAGGTGAACGACAAGCTTTCTCTTCTTTCACTGAACCAGGTCTAGTGAAACATTTTAATATGCAATGCAGACACATTTATCGTTGGTCCTGACATCCCTTTGTCCTTAAAGACATGTTTGATGCCTCTTTCTAGAACCAGTCATGTTTAGAGTTAACTGAAATTACCTTGGGTGCGCACAGGGTCTGACATAGCACTCGGGTCACTGAGACCTTGGGGGTTGATTGCTCTGACCATGAATAAATAGATTGTATTGGGACGCAGTCCTCTCACTGTATACAGGGTGGTCTTTACGTGATTTGCCACTGTCTGCCAGCTATTGCTCACCGATTGGCTGAAACGGGAACAGAAATTTCATTTAGAGAACCGTCACGGGGGTCTTGGAAATGGAGTTGGATATCAATGACAAAGGTTAATGGCTGAAAATTAAACACACACACACACAACGCTTGAAGTGTTCAGCCCAATAAATGAAACATTTGGATGGTTTCAGTCTACTCCACAACAAAGCCGAGCCCACCTAACGGAAGTGCCATGCACAGCAAAATTAAACTCAGCCCAGGAGATGTGAGAGCCCTTTCCAAAGCACAGCAGCCCATGAATGAATACCTGTAAAAGGAACAGGGGCCAAGATCACAACATCAAGTTTATACAATAAATACGGTCCTCGCAATGTTTATATATACCTTGAAAAGAATTAACCTGCAGAAAGAATAAATGGGCTACAGAGTAAATTATGCCAATACATTTTCCTGTTACAAGTTGTGTTTTCTTTTGCATCAATTCCACATGCAATATTACAATAGAGCCTTCTAAAACTACATATCTGTAAAAGAAGAAAGGAAGCATGTAATGAATATTTTCCCTTGGTCACATTTTTAATAAAATTGTACATTACACAGAATGGTGATTTCACATCTCAGAATAGTGAAATATCTCCGACTGTGTGTGCGGACCCCTTAACAGATAGGATGCCCTTTCACAGCCCTTGGTCTAAAGTCACATGCTACTTTTGCTTAGGATGAGGAGAAACTGTGATTTTTCAGAGCTGTCTGATTTTCAGAAGTCCTTATACCTCAAAGCATGAAAATTACAGAGAAACACTTGTGAAATTTGAAAACTAGGTACTGATCATTAACTTTAATAGATTAGGGAAATCTAAAATGAAAGTGATGATTTGTCCTTACATTTAAAAAGGAGAGGCGCTATCACTATATTTATAATGGCAAATAGAAGCAGTTTGAAACTGAATATGAAGCTACATTTTCTCATTAGTATAACAATTTTTTCAAATTCTCATAAGACAGTTTTATACCAGTATTGACTAATTTATAGTCTATATGCCTAAGGTGAGGGCAATTATTCCTAATAACGATTGGATCTAACTTTTCCTTTCAGCCATCAGAAGTGCTTGTAATCAATCTCTTTCATTGTAGTTTTTAATTTTCTCTTGGGGATAGCCAATATATGTAGTGAAATATATAGCACAAAACACTGGAATTATTTCAAAGTCTTCTCTAATTATTAGGAAGTAAAGTTCCAAGTTTCCATGCCTCAACTTGTGTAACTTAAAAAGTGCTTGTGCCTAATTAAATCATGTCCTGCTTAGTTCTAAAGCCAAAATTCTCATCTTAAATCCCTACAATGGTCAGGCTAAAGAAAAGAGCTAAGTGATGGTGTCATAACTAGATGCCTATATACATAGGCAAGGATGATGCATATTTAATGTTATAATTAAGGTATGAATGAAAAATAAACCCAAAACCTATTCTTGAATAAAGTAAAATACCAAAGATAAATTCTTAAAATGCCCTGATTAAACATGTCCTTAGAATAAAACAGCAGGATAGCTCACTTGAGATTTTAGGATATAGGAGCTAAAGCAAAAACTCAGTGGAGATAAACGAAACTGTCTCGTACCTGAAAGCCTCAATGATATATGCACTTGCTGGCAGGATTCCAGGGGCTCCTGGTTGCCAGGACAAAGTGACACTGTTCTTAGTCACATCAGTGACCTGTGGTTTGGATGGTGGTCCAGGTAGGTCATTTAAGTCATAATTTTTACTGATTGTTGCTCCAGATTCTATAGAGGACAAACAGAAAAAAATTCATTTCTGATTGCATCAGTTGACAACAACGCTTAAAAGACAGAAAATAGCCTATTAAAGAATTTGAATAGATGGCAATTTATCTTCATGAATCAAAAGTATATGTGAATATTTGTTTTTTCCCTATTGATCAGAAAATATTTACTTCCACACGTGATCACTCAAACTGCTTGTTCTTGAGTCAGAGAAAAGAGTAAGATTATCAAGGACAAATGTATCAAATTTCATATATGCAATGCTATGCACCAAGCAGGGTAGAAATGAAAAAGTGATATAAAGCTTAGTTTTTACAATCGATAAGTTTAAAATCTTGCTTTCTCTTTAACTTGTTATCTGATAACGAGCTAATCACTAAAACTGGCTCAAGATTTCTTCTGTTAAAATAATTCACAAAGAATTCACCTGTCACATCCAGCACAGCACTCCAGGAAGTCTCCCCACTTGAACTTGTAGCCACACAAGTATAAGTGCCAGTATCAGAAATCTAGTGTTCATGGAAGGGAGAGAATAAAACTGTTTTAACTGATTTGTAAAATGACTACTCAATCTCAACAAGGCAATATTTGACTTCTAAAATGTGATATATCATTTGGCTGTTGGAATTATACACTAGAGTAAATCATACATACACATGAAATATTAAAATAAGCTCATAACAGTGGTTCAAAGATTCTTATTCTATTTCTACAACTCAATGTTCTTTGTCTGTAAACTTTAACAGTTTTCTATTTGCCTCCATGGCAATCCCCTTATCTGTTAACTCGATTTTATGTTGGGGCTTCACTGTATCAGAGTTAGATATGGATAACTCAGGAGAGAATTTTTCAGAATCCTATAAACATCCACACTTTCCTGGTAGCTCAGACAGTAAAGAATCTGGCTTCAATGTCAGTAGTGTAAAGCCATCCTCTTTGCCATCAATAAACTGTATTTCACAGGATAAAATATGCCCGGGAGTAAATAAGCATTCAGATACCATGGAGGTGGGGGGCAACACTTCTTTTTTTTTTTTTTAAAGGTATGTATAAAAGTGAAAACGGAAAAAAAAAAAACTTTTTTAAAATGGAAAACTGAATCTTCCCTTTTAAAGAGTACAGTACTCACATTAAAGTTGTAACAGTGTAACAGTGAATGAAATAAAGTTGCATCATTAAAACAAATAAATTATACCTATGGAATCATTGCAATACAGAGCTAAAAGGGTCACAGAACTTAATTAATAACATAACACTTTTAAAAGTATACTTAAAACCATCATTCACTGATTACTTATGTCTAGTTCAGTTCAGTCACTTAGTTGTGTCCCCCTCTTCGTGACCCTCATGGACCACAGCATGCCAGGCCTCCCTGTCCATTACCAACTCCCGGAGTTTACTCAAACTCATCTCCATTGAGTCAGTGATGCCACCCAACCATCTCATTCCCTGTCATCCCCTTCTCCTCCTGTCTTCAATCTTTCCCAGCATCAGGGTCTTTTCAAATGAGTCAGCTCTTTGCATCAGGTGGCCAAAGTATTGAAGTTTCAGCTTCAGCATCAGTCCTTCCAATGAACACCCAGGACTGATCTCCTTTAGGATGGACTGGTTGGATCTCCTTGCAGTCCAAGGGACTCTCAAGAGTCTTCTCCAACACCACAGTTCAAAAGCATCAATTGTTCAGCGCTCAGCTTTCTTTATAGTCCAGCTCTCACATCCATACGTAACTACTAGAAAAAAATGCCTTGACTAGATGGATCTTTGTTGGCAAAGTAATGTCTCTGCTTTTTAATATGCTGTCTGGGCTGGTCATAACTTTCCTTCCAAGAATTAAACGTCTTTTAATTTCATGGCTGCAGTCACCATCTGCAGTGATTTTGGAGCCCTCAAAAATAAAGGAAGCCACTGTTTCCTCATCTATTTGCTTATATGTTAAGTAGTTAGAATAGGAAACAGGAGTCCAGAATGGTGGTGGCTAAAAGACAGGGAAGGGAAAAGCCCATGAAAATAGAACAAAGGAAGGTTTGAGGAGTGGAGTGAGGACCTCAGGTAGAACAAACAGCACCCCTGGATAGCCCAGTTTACATAGGGCAGGCCCAGGGGGAGGAGAAAAAAAAACATATAAAAAAGAGGAGCCAAAGGACCAGGATGCTCTCGCTCTCTCCTCCCTGTATCTTTTGGGTCAGCATGCCCTCATGCCTCGAGGATGTATTTTCCTTTATTTTCTAAATAAAACTGAGCTCTAAAATGGAGCTGCAACACTGATCTGTCCGAGAGCTGAGGCACGGTCTGTCTGAGAGCTGTGACATGCCAAGGGCTTTAAAGTCCGTCACTTCAAATTTTTGTTGTGACAAGACATAACTGAGTTAATCATACACTCCACTGGCACTTAAAACATTTTTGTTATTCATTAACTAGTGGTAAAAGATTTGAGGAATAGTTAATAAAATAATCAAGAGTTCTCTTTTAGAAATGTTAAAGGCCAAAGATTCTGTGATTATATCTTGACAAAAACTCCAACATCAGCAAGATGTAAATTAAAAGCCCTCCCTGTGGTGGAGCCCCATGGGCTGACATTACAAACAACCTTCATTCACATTAGTTTAGGCATGAAGGAAAAGTGAGACTGGGAAGAGAAATGGATGACCAGAGTAAGGCAAAGCAGAAGATACAGAAGTAAAATTCCCTGATGAATATGAGTCTACTTGTTGATAAAACATGAGTGCATGGAATATATAGTATCTGCTGGGTTCAAAATGTAAGTGTATTGATGACTCAACCTTCCACAATTGATTCTTGGGTAAATCAGTAGTACCTAGATGTTACTGTGGTTCCACCATTTTAATTGATTTTAAATGTCATTGTGTATTTTAACTTAAGTTTCAAATTGCTCTGGGATGTCATTCTTTGCTATATTATCTCTGTACAATTGTCTTCTATTATGCCAATGGATGATGGGGGACAGCCATTATAGAAAAAGCCATTTTTTCAGATGTGGCTATGCACGCATTACAGTCATTAGAAATCTTTGCATTTGAGAAGTATCACTCACAAACTAAATATAATGAGTCGAGGCTGGATTTTAATGGGATGTTCATTTGAATATGGTCTGTGAAAGAGTAAAGAATTTGCATTTTATTATAGCAGTTGAACTAAAATGTAGCGCTTGTTATTATGTGCAAATGCTGAAAGAAGAATAGGTAGGTAATGCTTCTTAACTGCATCTCCTTGTCATTATGTGGAGATACGAGTTTGACATTAGCTGTGGTAGGTAGGTTTTAATGAGTATTAGAATATTCTACTTCCCAAAAGAAACAGATTCAGTTACCAATTAGCTAGACCATAAGAATATGGTGCGCAGCACACAATTTTCCCCCTTTGCTTAAGTGCTGAAAAAGAAAGTGAGACACAAAGAAATATGACCTATGGAAACCCTCTTTTGACAGTATCAGTGAAGTACTGTAAAACATTGTATTTCCTGTTAAAGTCATCTTACAGAAAAAATAACAACATTTTCATTATGGAGTTTTATCAGAAGTGATATGAAAAGCCTAAATATCATTACTAAAGCTTAGTCTTGTTTCACCATCATCATTACCACATTCATTTTTATTCCTTAACTTTAAATAATATATTTTCTGGTCATGAGTGTTTTGTGTCTTTCCTATCCTTTTCCTCTTGTTTTTAACCGAGTGTTTTAAAAAAGAGACAATGTGATGGCACACTCTCACCTACTTTTCTCCTTGTGTAGTTGGCTGAAGACAAGCCCCCAGACGTAGGCATGTATGAAAGACTACTTAGAAGTCTGACAGAGGGCTCAAAGTTTCTTTGACATCATCAAGCACCCACCTTTTATTACTAATTTTAAGCACTACTGGGGGTCTTGACTGTTCAAATACACCCTTTAATACATCAGCACGGTGGAAATGTATTATCATCTGTGGCTCCAAAATTCTGCCTTTGACTCAAAGAAAGAGACTAAATTGTTTACTCAAGGAGAGTTAGCATTAATTTTTAAATAAATCCCATTTTATTGAAAGAAGGTCTAGAACTAGTTTATAATTAACAAAGGTGAAAAACCTGTACAATTTTTCTTCAAATAAAATTTGACAGCATTTTGTCTACTTAGAGCAATGCCTGTCTCAAAATTAAAATAAAAATTACACACATTCACTTTAATAACAAGTTAAAGATTTGTGTGTGTGCATGTGCACACTACAAAAAAGTTATTCTTCCTTTTTGTTAGGTATCTGTATTTGACACATCTGATAAACACGTGATTGCAAATACTTTTCTCCTTGTGAAAAAAATGCCTGTGGTGATCATTTTAAAATATATGTAATAACTATTTTATCTTATTCCTCTGGCTTCTGAATGGGAAAATTCAACATCTTTTTGTTTGTTTCTTTTTAATCACCTTGGTTCCCAATTTACACCTAGATACCAGATTCTACCAACTGTTTTTTCACTGAATCATTTTCAATCAATATTTCTTCATGTACTATCACATCAATCACCCTAATTCAGGCCCTCTTTCCCAGTCTTATGACTATTCTGACATAGTCTGGAGCTTTAGCATAGTACTTGCTATATGGAAAGGAGGCTTTCTATATTTGGTTGAATGAATTGAATATACTTGCGTAGGGCAGGTGGTCCCCATGACAACATCCTTCCGGTATTGACACCTTGTATAACCACTCACCTCAAATGTGTGAGGGACCTATTGACTTACTCCTGGCCAACAGAATATAGCATGGGTGACAAGATGTCATGTTTCTAATTGTTATATAGGGTAGTAATCCTGTCTTGCTAAAGGACCATCTTCCTTGTTGATTTTGAGGAAGCAAGTATTAGGAATATCCACAAGGTAAGGAACCAAAAGCAACCTTCAGTCAACAAGAAGCAAGAAGCTGAGGTCACCAGTCCTAAAGCCATTAGAAACTGAATGCTAACAACCATTTTGTTTGAAGCAAACTGATCCTCAGTCAATTTTCAGATGAGACTATAACCCTGACTAAAGCTTTCCGAGACCCTAGGGCAGAAGGCCTTGCTAAATCATGCCTAGCTTCCTAACCAACAGAAGCTACGAGATCATAAATATGTGTTGCTTCAAGCCTCTAGGTATTTGCTAATACTGTTACACACAGTAGATATCTAATACAATATTCAGAAATAAACATTATTTTGAGTTGCTCCCAAAGCAAGTCTAATTCGGTAAGTTGGCAGGAATGATCATTTTCTATCATGTCATTTTCCACTAAAAGATCAGCAATGGCTTGCTGTTATCCACAGACTTAAATCTAAACTGCACAGCAATTTTGCCTAAACTATAAGATTTTTTATAAACTAACCAAACCTGCTTTCTGTGTCCTCACCAGTCTCCTCTCTTTCTTATTTTCCACATAAAGTGTTTAACTGAACTGCTTTATCCTCATTTCCTTAGAAACTCCCGTGTCCTTGACAGTAGCACAGATACATTTGTCACTTTCAAATTATTTTATTTTTTTCAAACTATTTCAAATATACCATTACTATCATTAACTTTATGTGTTTAACCTTTTTAGTTTCATTGATCACATAAATATGGGGTTGAATGAAGAATAGAAAGTTTCTAGGTCTGCTAGGAACTTATGATTAATATAAGGACAATGCACTTCCTTCTAATTTTAGTTTGTCATTTGTAAAATAAGAAATAACATGTAAAATAAGAAATAAAATCAGAAATAAAATATATTGAAAAAAGTAAAAAAAAAAAAGAAATAACATGGTCTATAATCAAATGTACAGTGATCAGACAGGCATGTAAGATTTAACTTCCCAATGGAGTGATTCCCTAGGGATATACATATTTATGCTGACAGGAAGATCCAAATACGAACTCAACATTACTTACCCTTAAGTTCTTAATCTGCAAGGTTCCTTGTTCTTGTATAGTTGCTCTTGGATCTCTACCCAGGAAAGTAAATCCCTCCTTTAACCAGCTAATGACAGGAAGAGGGTCACCAGTAGCTTTACATTTCAGTAATGCAGTGCCATCAACTGCTAATGTTTGGTTGGCTGGGCCTTGTAGAATTATAGGTGGGGGTCTATCTGTCAAAACTAAAACACAAAGACATTTTCAGGATATTTTAACTTCTATGACATTTAGAAAACTTTATATCATCTGTAGTCATAGCAAAAGTAAGATGAAACCCCAAAGTCAAACATATTACTTATACTTATTTCTGTATATTCTATACCCAATATAAATTTATCATCTACACATACTACACATATATCTGTACCTATTTTACTGAAGCCATGTTATTATTTACTATTTACTCTGACTTACCTGTAACTCAGATAATGATGATAATCATTCATAAAATGGCCAATTTACCTTCATAGTACCAGTTATGTTTTGTTTATATAGATATAGTATTTTTAATGATAATACAGTAGACTATAAATACTTTATTTCCAAAACTGCTTCATTGCTTTAAATTATGGTAATAAAATTTGGGTGATATAATTTAATTAGTCTGCACAATTCAGCAAAAAAAAAAATCTAGTTAAGAATATATGTAGACAAGACAAAAATAGGACTTTCATGAAAAATTTGCATTACATATATATCAATTCCTGTATTCAAGTAAATTTTCCATAATTTCATGAACTTGGGTCACTGTGCTTTTTAAATCAAATGTTGATTTATAGCAGTATCATCAGGACCTTTAGAAGTATTATATAATGCTTTAGGATGCATATCAAAATATACAGTAATATTTAAATGGGTGATGAAAATATGGAATCAATTAGAGGCAAGTTTTCATCTACAACTCATTAGAAGACCATGTCATATTGAAATTTATATCCAGCTCCAAGGAAAGATTTCTGAAGAGAAAGTTTTATAAACTTCACATAGGTTTTGCTTAATTATGTATATTTACTCTTTATTATATTTTTACTATATGTATATATTTAAATACATACATAACTTCCACAGAAAGAAAAAATAGTAAATTTGAATTATTGTTAAGCAACTGAAGAGTGTCTTTTCTCAAGAAAGTCATCTTGTATTATAATGTACATAATCAAAAAAAGTAATTTTGCTTATTAATGCTCTAATTTCCTTTGTCTACAAAGCTTCTACAAATACTAGTTTATATGTTTGTTTATTTTTCAGCCTAGATGCATTTTTATTGCTAGACTTTACAATTTTAGGAAAAAACAGTAAAACAGCCCTTTCAGAGCCTACCATGAGAAAGCCAACCAATTTTGATTTAAAAAGAGGCTGTGATATATGTGTCCTGGCATGTCAAAATAGAGTGGACTTAAAGTCAACCTACACCTACTACATCAAAATATGTACTAAAATCTGTGTATGTGTAGAAAATCTTGTAAAACCTAAGGAAAACAGTATTCTCTGTGTAGTCTTCACAAATAAAATTAGAACCATTTAGTTCATTGATTTTCTTGATCAAATTTTTCATCTCAGAAGTCAATTAAATGAGAGGGAACATGAAATTGTAATATTATACCAATTCTGACATATCTGGCAATAATTGTGCAAATAGTTATTCAAGTTGAAAGCTTCATGGAATTTATTTTATTTATAAGTCAAAAATGGAAGGCTAATTCTACAAACATTATGATTTTAAAATTCAGTGAGAAAAATGGGTCAGTATTAACAGAAAATAAGCTATTTATTATATTTTATATAATGTTACTTCTTTGCATCAAATGAAATATCTATATAGAATTCAGGCAACTTCTTGTAACTTGCTTTTTTACTATCATATCCATGAAATCATTAGATATAGGCAAAGGACATCTGATTAGTTTCTTTTTCTCTTTTTTTACTGCCCAAATGAGTAGCTCATTGTCTTGTAAATGGATTTGATCAATAAAGTAATTGAAAATCTCCTGGCCAGAAAGAACTTTCAGTTTCAAGGATGTTATGGGTGAAAGATGACCACAAGTTTCCATGACACTAAGGTCGGAGGTTAAATGAACATTTAGGGCTTCCAGTGATCTGTGAACAGTTGCATGGTTTTTTCTAACTATGCATTATAAATCCTCAGTAAACCATTCATACAAGATCATTGTGACATCTGTTGTCAATATTATATATAAATACATTTCTTCTCTCTAGTCCTTACAGATTCTATCGGCTCTACTCCAAATTCTCACTTCAATTTTCTACTTTTCTGAGAGAAAAAAGGGGAGAAGAAAAGAAATGAAGAATAGAGTTAACAAATTAATGAGAAAGTATTTTAAAGGGATATTTTGAAATTCAAGTGTATTAAAGCATCTTAGCTCTATCTATAAACAGTAAAATTATCACTCAACAGTACCTTTCATCACCATTAATAATCTCCTCTCATGTGAACACTTGAGTTAAAAATATTTCCAAGAAAGCAAGTACAAAAATGTAGTAACAGAAAACATTGATATAGATGTTTTGCTTGTTTTTCTGAACATGACATATGTTTTCATTCTACTTTGGAACTTCATTTGGCTCTAAATCACCCTAGATCATACCAAACAACATGTTCAAAATGAAGATGATGGCTTACATATTATTAGACTGTTAACTAACCTGAAAAATTCAAAACTATGAATAAAAGCAGAAGTCGTCAGCGAATGTGTCATCAGCAAGTTAATATTTAGAGACAGAGTTATATAAAATAAGGTGTCTGTGTGTGTGTGTGTTTAGATATCAAAGTTATATTTCTTTACCATCAAAATCAACAACTGCATAACCTACATACAACTTTCTTGCAAGATGATCTTGACTTTGTGATTATTTATTCAAGTAAAAATCAATGCAGAAATTACAATTCAAACAAGTTGTAATAAAATGTTCAGAGCCTTTCAATTCAGGGTGGGATGGGATGAATTGGATGTATTCACTACTGACACTGTGTATAAAATCAAAATCTAATGAGAACCTACTGGAGAGCACAGAGAACTCTACTCCGTGCTCTGTGGTGACCTCAATGGGAAGGAAATCCAAAAAAGAGGGGCTATGTGTATACACATTGCTGATGCTGCTCTATAGCAGAAAGTGGCACAACAGTGTAAAGCAACTATGCTCCAAAACAAAAAAAAGTCCTCAAATTTCCTCATCACTCATTTTAAGTCTGACCACAGAAACAAAGCTATAATTACTACTGATTTGAAAGACTGTGTCACCAACAAACATAATTTCTCAAAACGAACTTTCCGATTCATTGTTCTTTCGTCGCTAAGTCATGTCTGACTCTGTGACTCCATGGACTGGAGCCTGCCAGGTTCCTTTGTCCACTGGATTTCCCAGGCAAGGATACTGGAGTGGGTTGTCATTTTCTCCTCCAGGGGAAGCTTCCAAACCCAGGGATTGAACCCATATCTGCTGCATTGACAGGCAGATCCTTTATCACCAAGTCACCTGGGAAGTCCTTCTCTTTCATTATATCAGGTATAATTTTGAATATCTACATGTTTCATGATCCACAGCAGTCACATCAACTGGCTCTTCTATATCATCAATTTTGTTTTCTAAAAATACAGCTTGCCTTCTGCATAATAACTTCTTCATTTAAAAACATTTAAAGCCTGCCTCTTTTAAAATACCATGAGCAGCTAGATTACAGTAGAACTCTTAAGCATTATATTTGAAGTGTTTCATAGTAGTACAGAACAAAAATATCGTATTTTTCAAGTATAAGTTTCTGGACATTTTTTCTAGTAGAAGAAAAATAAATAAAATATTAATTATATATTTATATATAATTTATATTTATAAATATTCATTATATTAAAATATATTTTATTAATATAATCATTAATATATTTGTTCTAGTGGGAAACACAGGAACTTAAAAAGATCAAAAGATATATTTTTATTTTTTAAGAAATATGGATATTTGAAGGGTCAAAGGACTTGCCCATCTAAAGCAAGAATTTCTTGGCACTGTTACCTGTGAACCTGACATCTTCAGTTCCACAGCAGTAAATCTCTGCCATATCAGCAGGTGTGACTCTTAATAACTCAATATCCCTGCAGCTAATGTTTACCTGTTCTATTTATTCCCATTCCTGACATGGTGCTGAATCAGGCAATAGCATGGGCAGACATTAAAAAATATTGCCTTTCTATTAATTTTAAATGACCTTTTAATATACATGTAAATTTGAATTGTATGAAAGCTCAGCAGAGAAAGAAGAGAATCAGAGAGGTCACAGCCCAAGCTCTTGGATCTCAGATGCCAGCATCCAGGGTGGGGGAAGAGGGGAGGCGAATTATACACCTCACAAATATAAGACAGCAAGAGAGAATTGTTAATCTAAAATATAAAAGAATATGGATTAAATTCATGCTCAGAGGTTCCAGAATATCTAAAACTCCCTACATGTCAACTGTCACAAAAAAGACCTTGCGAAAAAAAAAAAAATCAGATCATGAAGATATATTTTTCACCTTTCACTATGAATCAGGTGCTTCAGTTAAGATTTGTAATACATATATGCAAATGAAAAATAATTTTAGCATCCATTCATCACTTAAAGTTAGTGATACAGTCGTGTCCGACTCTGTGATCCCATGGACTGTAGCCCGCCAGGCTCCTCTGTCCTTGGAATTCTCCAGGCAAGACTACTAGAGTGGGCTGCCATTTCCTTCTCCAATTCATAGCTTGCAAAGTATTTAATTAATTTAACTTAGTGAAAGTGTAATTTAAAAAATCATAGGATTGTTGTTGCCATTTAGCTGCTACATCGGATCCAACTCTTCATGACCTCATGGACCACAGCACGCCAGGCTTCACTCTCCTTCACGATCTCCCGGAGTTTGCTCAAATTCTTGTCCATTAAGTTGGTGATGCTACTCAACCTTCTTATCCTCTGTTGCCCTCTTTTTTCTCCTCAATCTTTCCTAGAATCAGCATCTTTTCCAATGAGTCAGTTCTTTGCATCAGATGGCCAAGTATTGGAGTTTCAGTTTCAGCATCAGTCCTTCCAATGAATATTCAGGGTTGTGAAGTCATCAGCCAATATATCATCAGCAAGTTAATATTTAGAGTCAGAGTTATTTATAATAAGTTACGTGTGTGTATGTGTGTGTGTATGTTTAGGTCTTGAAGTTAGATTTCTTTACTGTTAAAATCAATAACTCTATAACCTCCACACAACCTTCTTGCAAAACAATCTTGACTTTGTGATTGCTTACTTAAGTAAAAATCAATGCAGAAATTAAAATTCAAACAAGTTGTAAAAAAAATGTTCAGAGCCATCACAATTTGGGGTGGGGTAGGATGATGTGATTAGCTAACTTAAAAAGTCATCTCTGTTTCCTGATATTAAAGATGGTATCCTTTCTTCTCTAGTAAAAGAAAATTATCACTATTCTTTAGAAGTAATCATGTCAGCATAAGATTAGGTATACAGATGGCATGCCTATTTCTATTTCACTAAAATAATGAATCGCTATATTTTTTAGAATAAAATAGATTGTTTTGGATGTTCTTCCTGGGGAAAATAAATAGTGTAAATAGATCAGGGAGAATTAGAAACCATTAAAAATGTTATTTTACCTAGATTCAAACTTACAAGATAAGCATTAATTTCAATGATTTAATTAACAAATCAGAAAATTTCATCCTTTGAAATAAAGATAATTATTTTCAGAAAACAAATCTAATAATATCGCACCATCAGTAACTTCCAGTTGAGCTTTTGCTAAAATACTTCCTGCCACGGTGAGGGCCTGACAGATGTAGTAACCCGCGTCCGAACGCTGAATGTTGGTAATTGTAAGGTCCCCAGTTGGTGACACAGAACACCTACTGTTGGGCTGTTGGGGTTGGTTTGGGAAGAGCAGGTTCTGTGGAAACAAACACAATTTTATCAATATTCTCTTCTCACTCATTAGCAAAGTTATATAAACAGCTATTGCAATTAGAGAAATGTGGTTGAAAAAAAGAAAATACATAGATTTAAAAATATGGTGCTGAAATGTTTAGATGTCACAGAGTGAGTTTCATTGGGAAATGTCATGCCCTCACTGAAGGAACAATCATCTAAAAAATCTAGGTCTTTATTCGGACATTTTATTTCCTCCCTGACTTTCTGTGAGTTACTGAATATTTCTGAAACATGGTTTCCCCATCTGTGAAATGGGCATAATAACACTTATCTGATGCAACACATAAGACACTGAGAATCTGGAATGTAACATTGACTATGTATGTGATTTATAAACTGCATATTCTGTTGATCTTTTTAACTATTTGATGTAATTAACTGAATTTCTTCTAAAGGTGTTCAAGATTGTGACTAAGACTGACAGAGAGACAGCTGAATCGACTTCTGCTGTAAGAATTCTGCAGGTTGTAGCAGCTTTGAAAGGAGCTAGGTATAAATGCTAATAAATGCTACCATCTAAGCAAGATTAACCAAACCACTGAAAATGTAAAGAAGATGTGGGATGTTTCTGAAGCATGCATATGATGCTAAAGAATTTTTTCACATTACTCTTCTTAAAAATAAAAAGTTCTCTAGTTTACTATATATCTTGTATTATTACAAACAGCTAAATCACAAATTTGTAAAAGTTCTTATAAGAAAGCGGTAATGTTAACTTGGATGACCTATGCTGCTTTATTGTTGTTCAATTAAGAAAAACATTTGGGTATAATAAATCATATTGAGATATGCTTCCAAGTTGGATTATAAATAAGGATGTATCAATTTTTATGTTGTATTTACTTACCAAAAAAAGAACATTACAACCCTCTGGGATCTGTTTCTCCATATAGTAATTAATTTTCCAGGTTTGTAATTAAACAGTTCCAATAAGTTACAATCAGGAGGTAATAACATTCAATTAAAGGCATAAGACACATTTTCACCTTAAAATGTTTTTACCCTTGAAGGAATACCAATGGAAGAGGATAAAATAGGGTATTAACACTTTTCAATTACGCTAAATGACTTTAATCCTGCGAATGATGTCCTACTTTAATTAGAAGCTCTTCTCTTTATTGCCACATGATGGATGTCCACTTTATTAGATTCGAGTGTGACACTATAAGCCCACTTTACATAAACATTACCGTGTTATTAAACCCTTTCAAAAAGAAGTGGTATTTGCTAGCATGTCAGAAATATAATTTCAAAAGGCTATTGCCCTCCCATAAAATTTGTATTATTTACTATTAATACAGAAGGCTAGATTTTTTCATACATATAAAGCATAATTTGAGAAGAAGCTAATTCTCCTGTGGAGTCCAAATATATTACTGAAATAAACCATCTGAAGGAAAAGGGTCTAAATTTTAAAGCCACTTGAAAATGATAGAATAACTCAAAGTGTGCACTTTCCTACAATTATCCATTAGAATACTAATTTACATAGCACTAATACATCAGATGGGCTTAATTCTCTCCGGGATGTCTTCCTCTACAATGTATTATCAGTCCACCTTCTAAATGATTCGTTGACATGGAAAATGGCATATGATTGAGGTTAACCCATCATCTTTATTCCCTGCTTGTAAGACATAGGCAAAAGGAAATGGATTACAAGCAAAAACCAGGAATTCTACAGAGCTCCTCTTGCTTGAAGTGCCTGGGTATCCTATTAGTGCTAATTGGCATTATCAGCACATATTGAGGAATATGGACCATTAAGTCCAGGCTCTTAACTCTCTCTCTACTGATGGATAGTCATAGATCACTGAAAAAATTGGATACTGTGGACAGTAAGACCGATTTATTTTTCCTAATGTACTAATTCATGATTTGAAAATTTACAATTTGCTCAAGCATTTCTCTTTTGTTCTCACTCACAATCTCCTTTCTCCCCCCCTTTCTATCTCCCTTCCTCCCTCTGCAAACCCTCTCTCTGATGTGAGGGAGATAGGTGAAGAAAACCAGATCTAAGATTATAATCAAATCAAATCAAATCAAATCACCTAACTGGAAATTTTTTTCCCAGAGATTAATTCCCTGGAATTAAAACATGCCACTTTGTCAAATAATAGCAAAAGAAATATTTTAATACTATTTGATCATTACTTGTATAAAAAAATTAAAACACAGTGTAGCATATTTAAATATCATGTTTATTGGGCCACAAGACCAATACACACTTTATGCAATAGCGTGTATAAAACTGGAGCATCTGAGGGCATGTAATTTACACACGAGAAAGCCGAATCTACATGATAATAGATACAATGAGATTTGACTGACTACATGATTTAAAGTGTGAATGTGCAACAATCAGATGGCTTTAGATCATTATATTTGTACCATTTATAAATAATATGCTCACATATATATATTCACAATCAGTGGCTTGAGGAGGTAACTTCTGTGGACCTCACAGCCCCCAGAGTGGGTGGGGGGAAGAGGATACAGGCATGAAGTAGAAACTCCGGTGTCTCCAGGTTCAAGGCTCCCAGCCTTCTCAGGCATGGGGTGGGTCTGGGGACAGTGGCGACCAGAGTGTTCCCGAGCCTCTGTGCCTGGGAAGAGGGAGCCCAAGCAGGCCGGCCTGAGCAGAACATAAACTCACCACTTCAGCCAGGAAGAAGGCAAGGCAGGTGCATTCTGCATTTTCCCAATTTCTAACCTTCAAAATGTGTAAAGCACTTTTACATATAAACAATCACATAATCTTCATAAATTACGTGAATTAAAACACTTTATCTTCATATTTTGGATTAGAAACTAAGTTTCAGCAAAGTTAAACAATGATTATAAAATCATAAGGAGGGAAAATGGCTTTAGAATTCTTTCCTTTTCTCAGGGTGTGTGTGTGTGTGTGTGTGTGTGTGTGTGTGTGTGTATGTTCAAGTGTGTTATAACTGTATCATGCTGCTTTACATTCACTTTAGAGTTTGGGATGTTTTCATCCAAAAGCCACTTTTAAGAATCAAGGAACTCTAAGAGTAGAAATTTATTGTATAGTTGTTTAGGTGTGTTAGTCGCTCAGTCATGGCCAAGTCTTTGTGACCCCATGGACTGTAGCCTGCCAGGCTCCTCAGTTCATGGAATTCTCCAGGCAAGAATACTGGTGGAGTGGGTAGCCATTCCCTTCTCCATGGGATCTTCCTGACCCAGGAATTGAACCCAGGTCTCCCACATTGCAGATAGATTCTTTACCATCTGAGCCACCAGGGAAGCCCAATTGTATCACTGAAAGTGAAAGTCACTCAGTCGTGTCTAACTCTTTGCAACCCCATGGACTGTATAGTCCATGGAATTCTCCAGGCCAGAATACTGGAGCGGGTAGCCTTTCCCTTCTCCAGGGGATGTTCCCCACCCAGGGATCGAACCCAGGTCTCCCTCATTGCAGGTGGATTCTTTAGCAGCTGAGCCACAAGGGAAGTCCAAGAATACTGGAGTGGGTAGCCTATCCCTTCTCCAGCGGATCTTCCCAACCAGGAATTGAACTAGGGTCTCCTGCATTGCAGGCAGATTCTTTACGGACTGAGCTGTCAGGGGAGCCCAACTGTATCATTATTAACTGATAAAAAATGATGGCAATTAAGTCCTGGAACCATCCTGATGTGGGATGAGGCAGTGGCCAGAACTTTACCTTATCCTTTCCACCACTGTCTTTACATCCCACGAATTAAGGGGGAAGTGAGTCCAACACAGAGCACTGCAGAAAAGGAGAAAGATAAGTTGCCCATCCATACTGACATGCTAAAACTGCTGGCGTGGGGTGGAAGAAAGCTGTATGGGAATCTGGAAGAATGAAAAATGACAACGGCTGAGGGGAACTTCCTGAGAGGAACCTCCTCCGAGATGGTCTTACATGAGTTTTGATCTACAGGTTCTTTCAATTTCTTCTAAAGTGTTTTCTATCTCTGGCAAAATTTTTGGACTGCTTGAGTCTTTTAGTCATTGTTTCCTATTTGTCCAGGAAATTCATCTGAAACTTGGACTAACAACAGGGGGTGTTAGGAGTAACACGGTGGGGTCCCTTCCTAAGACCTACATGGCTCCTTGGGAATGCCTCTGGAGAGTCTAGAACGAAAATATCTCTAGGGAGTTCCCTAGAATTCCCTTGGGAATGCACAGATTAAATTCTTAGACAAAGAACTCAGTTTCTATTCTGGTTTAAGGGGAAGCTCCACTCATTGCTTCAGAACCTAGAGGCTTGAGCTTGCCCAAGCTTGGACCAAGTTCTAAATGAGAAAAGTGGTGCATTCAATTCAATTTGCTTGTAGCAGAGTCTAAGAGACCATGCTGCCCAGAGAGGGTCCTAGAGGAAAAATCAGGACACAGCAAAGATCAGACAGGTATTGCTTCTTTCTGCTATTTAATGTATTATTTCCTGTCTAATTCCACTATGAGGGAATCCAGAGGGATGAGGAAAGAAAATATTTCTACTACTCTTAAATGGAAGCATGTTTAAATTAATGATAAAGAAAAGGTATTTATACTATCTATTTATGAAAGGGGGTTGAAACTGGTTTCTAGACTAATTAATGACAGAAATATTTTTGACTATTTACATGTACCCAGGATGTTCTAAGTGCTTTATAGATATACTAACTCAGTTATCTCAATGTAGCTCAATGCAAGGAAGCATACTTCTGTTAAGACATTTTAAACAGCTGCAGGTTAGACTTTTTCAGGTAATTTAGTTACACTGTATTGTATCTCCTCTATGTAAGATAAAATTTTTTAAAAATTAACAGTCAAAAACAGAATGTTCTATTAAAACCTCTGAATCTCTCTTATTTTTAGAATCAACTGGTCTCTTTTTTAGAAATAAAATGCATTCAACTTTGATAACAAGAAAGGCAAGACAGACTTTGAGGACCACCAGAGATGGGGAGCAGAGATTTCAGAAAAGCAGTCAAAGCTTGCACTCACCTGGCTGCCTTCTTTTTGCCAAAAAACTGCTGGCTGTGGGTTTCCTTTAGTTTCACAGGGAAATGTCACTGTTCGACCTTGAGCAACAATCTGATCTCTTGGCCTAACCACAAACTGTGGAGGAGCTATAATTTAAAAGGAAAGAAAGTGTGTAAATATAAACTGTTGACAAAGAAAAATACATTAAAGGGAAAGTCTGATACGAGGGGGACTGCTCAGTGCCAGACAGAGGCTACAGATGTTGATTTACTTTTAAGTATTTCTCAAAACACAATGGGAAAAAAAAGAGCACTCTATCAAATGTGAGGACAGAAGTAAATGTATTAGTAGACACATTTTATTTTATTTATTTTTTTTAGACATATTTTAAATGTACGCTGCAAATCTTGCAGCCCATATACTTGCAAAGAAAAAGTAGATTTTTTAATGATATTCTAAAGTCTTTAATAAATAAACATGGTTTCCCCATATGGTTTTGTGTTTTGAATGAAGACAGAAAAAAGACACTGCATTATTCAAGTATCTACTTCCTGTGGCATCAATCTATTGACAAACATGAATTGCTCTTACAATATTTGCAAGACATTGTACTAGGCACAGGGATACCAGAAGGCATAGAATATAATCTCTATTCTCAAAGTGCTTAGAGTGCTTATATTCTAGATTTGAGGACTTGAAGTGTTGAAAACATCAAATTGAAGGTATGGGAATTACATACAGAGATAACTAACACTATACAAAAACACATGAAAGTGGTTGACTAACTCAATTCACTTAGATTAATAACTATTTGGCAATTATTATGTTCCCTTACTGGGCACTAGAAACTGAAAATTATTCAAAATATTGAAATATCAATAACCTCAGATATGCAGATGATGCCACCCTCATGGCAGAAAGCAAAGAGGAACTAGAGAGCCTTTAAATGAAGGTGAAAGAGGAGAGAGAAAAAAACTGGCTTAAAACTCAACATTCACAAAACTTAAGATCATGGCATTTGGTCCCATCACTTCATGGCAAATAGATGGGGAAACAATGGAAAAAGGGACAGACTTTATTTTCTTGGGCTCCAGAATCAGTGCAGATAGTGACTGCAGCCATGAAATTAAAGGACAGTTGCTTTTTGGATGAAAAGCTAAGACCAACCTAGATAGCATATTAAAAAGCAAAGACATTACTTTGCCTACAAAGTTATGTCTAGTCAAAACTATGCTTTTTCTAGTAGTCATGTATGGATGTAGGAGTTGGACCATAAAAAAGACTGAGCATTGAAGAATTGATGCTTTTGAACTGTGGTGTTGGAGAAGACTCTCGAGTGTCCCTTGGACTGCAAGGAGATCCAACCAGTCCATCCTAAAGGAAATCAGTCCTGAATATTCACTGGAAGGACTGATGCTGAAACTGAAACTCCAATACTTTGGCCACCTGATGTAAAGAAGTGACTCACTGGAAAAGACCCTGATGCTGGGAAAGATTGAAGGCAGGAGGAGAGGGGGATGACAGAGCACGAGATGGTTGGATGGCATCACCGACTCAGTGGACGTGAGTATGAGCAAGCTCTGAGAGATAGTGAAGGACAGGGAAGCCTGGCGTGCTGCCGTCTATGGGGTCACAGAGCTGGACATCAGCAACTCGGCGCTGAAGATACACAGATAAAAGCATCTGTATCGCAGCCATGAAGGTGCTTACACTCTAATAGAAAAGACGAAACATGATCACAATGAAAACAATAACGAAATGAAAACAACAGTTCTGTAAGACTGTGGTAAGATCAATGACAGAGGTACTCTCAGAGCTCACAGAAGCCCTTAAATTTTAGCATACATCATAAGTGTCCTAGGACTTTGGGAAGAAGGGATCCCTTTGTGTTATGGTAGCTGTAAAAGGCTTTATGCAGGGGGTAGATACTACGAAGATTTGGAGGAAAGAGTGGCATTTAGAGAAGTGGAAAGATGAACACATTCTAAAGAAAGGAGCTAACTGAGCAAAGCATAAGAAGCGAAAACACATCTAGTATACATTGAGTAATACAGGAGGAATGGAGAGTCCCCACTGTATAAACATCACTGGCTACAAAAAAATGGATTTGTATCAAGCCCTTCTTTTCAGTCTAAGAAAGGCCTGAGAAGCCAAACTGAGGATTTTATTCTGGCTGCTTTTAAGCTAAGGAGTGATAAATGCAAAGCAAAAGTTTGGAATCTTTACCCCTATAACGAATGTAGTCTATAGTTTGTGAGGGAGACAGATTAGTCAATAAAGTAGGTTTTTTAATTGAAAGACCAGTAAAATGGTGCAGGCAAAACCAGTGATACCACGGTATCAGTAAATCCATTAGAAAATATAGGGATGGGGTAAAAATGCTAAGAAAGTTCAGGTTTAAATTTGGGGCTAATTGTAAAGAGAAAGAAGAGAGTGAAAAGGAGGACAGTATGTAACAGGAAGTTTTCACAAGGACATCATCTTCATAGCAAAACCCACTCCTGATGAAGAGAAAACAGCAGCTTTATTCCATGACCTTTCTAATCATTTGTTTCCAGAGTAACTCCTTGCTTAATACTAGAAAACTTCAGACCAAGAAAAAATCTACAATGAACTCTAATTTTTAGAACCCGGAGTACATGGCTACAACCCTAATATTTGAACTCTGAAGAATTTTAACAATAGCACCATTCATTAAAGTCCTTCACTCAGAATTCTTCCAGTTGTTTAAGATTACATAACTGGAGGTCCAAGAGTAGAATCAGTGTAGGGTGGCCTCAAACATCACCCAATTACTCATCCTTACAAGAAGACGAGCATAGAAACAGCAGCAGCAATTTTTTTTTTCCCCAAAAACTTTACTGAAACTTGTAGTGGCTTATTTTTCGGGGTTCTATTATACTGCTTCCTAATTCAACACACTCGGCACATACATTATGGGCTGAAGGAATAAATCTACTAAGTGAAATTTTCTTCTACAAATATAAATAACAGAACACTCAGTTTAACAGGATGGAGAACCCAGATTTATAGATCCATTTGAACAGAACGTGGTTTATGTTGCCCTATATTTTCAGGAGATTATGTGCTTCTTACAATCTTGTTATTTCTACACAATTCCACTGAATCAGTAGTATCATTGATTTTTGTTCTCTATGTTTTCTAACAAGAGTGATAGTTTAAATCAATGTTACAAAATTACTTTAGGAATGACTCTTAAAACACTGCAGTGTCCATTTCTCAATAAAGATGTGAAACCACCAGATACTTACACCAAAAATATTAAGATTGTTCTCTATAATCTGTAATATCTAAACAAAAATTATATATATTAAGAAAAATTTAAAGATAAATGTGTATTTCTTTACTTCTTTTAGTAATTCTATGAAAAAGTTTACTTCCAAAATGGACATTAAGTAAGTAAGAAGTATTGAGTAACTTAGTTTGTATTTCATCACAAAAATGAAAGTCAGTAAAATAAAAATTAGTCTTTGATAAAAACCACATATACAGCTTATTAGTTCATTTGCATTGCTTTGGACAAGAAATAATCTAAATTGACTCTCATAAGTAGCTAGTAAAATAACAGTAAGAATTTAGAACTTCCAGATATTCAAGCTGGATTTAGAAAGGCAGAGGAACCAGAGATCAAATTGCCAGCATCTGTTGGATCATCGAAAAAGCAAGAGAGTTCCAGAAAAACATCTACTTCTGCTTTATTGACTATGCCAAAGCCTTTGACTGTGTGAGAACCTAGACAGCATATTAAAAAGCAGAGACATTACTTTGCCAACAAAGGTCTGTCTAGTTAGAGCTATGTTTTTTCCAGTTAGTGATGTATGGATGTTAGAGCTGGACTATTAAGAAAGCTGAGTGCCGAAGAACTGATGCTTGTGAACTGTGGTGCTGGAGAAGACTCTTGAGAGTCCCTTGGACTGAAAGGAGATCCAACCAATCCATGCTCTAGGATATCAGTCTTGAGTGTTCATTGCAAGGACTGATGCTGAAGCTGAAACTCCAATACTTTGGTCACCTGATGTAAAGAACTGATGCATTAGAAAAGACTCTGATGCTGGGGACAATTGAAAGCAGGAGGAGAGGTGAATGACAGAGGATAAGATAGTTGGATGACATCACTGACTCAATGGACATGAGTTTCAGCAAGCTCCGGGAGTTGGTGATGGACAGGGAACCTGGCGTGCTGTAATCCTTGAGGTCACAAAGAGTTGGATACAACTGAATGGCTAAACTGAACTGAGAGCCCCATATGCTCTATAAAGTCCTTTGTATAATTTTTAAAATGTAATACCTGAGAATACACACTATTAAAATCCTCAGATGAAAGATTAAATGAAAGCAATGAAAATATATTTTATAATTTAAAGCATATTATACTTACTCTGTTTATCAATCATCCATCTATCTCAGTAAAATTACTAACTGTACTTTAATTATTTAACTACAGACTTCTTGCATTTGATTTTTCAAGCTTTCAAAAACCTTTGGGTGGATGAATGACTTTTCAAAATACTTTTGGAATCTAGATCCTCCAATTTTAACACAACGGCTAAAATATTACCCCTAAAATAAGGATTGGCAAGTAACCACATCTATCTAACCATGTTTTGGAAAATATGTGATTCATCTATTTAGTCCTTCAAAACGCATTAGCTAGCTACAAACTATTAGCAGACTATACCAAGTCTGCTTGGCACAGGAGATAGAAAACAAAATAAAAAACTATTCAGAGCCTATGGCAGAGACGTCCAATTAAATAAACAAATAAAAGCAAACACCACAGAGCATGATTTGAATAACAGAAAAATGCAGAGGGGAGAAAAGATTGGAAGAACACACAGTAGATAAAGTAATGCTAAGGGAAGAAGAGAAAAGATGTTGGGAGATGGCTACATCTGAATGGGTTTTGAAGCACAAGTAAGATTTCAGGAACTGGAGAGGAGTCGGGTCACTTGGGACAAAGGGAGTCAGAAGTGATATAGGTGGGGTGTGATAATTTATACTAAAGGAGCTTAACTTTTGCCCTAGAAAGTATGGAGATCTGTTCAAGCATATTTATGCAAGAAAGATATAGCAACAGTATTAGAAAGAATGTTCGTCCTAAAAGAGAAAAGGCAGACATAAAACT